AATTATCAGACATGGCAGTGCTTATCCCTAGGTTTCAAATTTAACAAATTAACAGTTTTATATTATGAGGGAAGTTAATCACTACTACTAGGAACTAAAAATTAACTCTCATGAATAAAGAGTCAATGTGCTACTGTCAGCATTTAATCTCTCATGGAAATATAACTACAGACTTCATGGACCTAATTATATAAGGTGGTCACAGTCCCAAATGAGGCTCAGTGAAAACATGGGGATCTCAGCACCTATTACAGTACTCAATGGTGCCCATACATGACCCTGGAGGCTGCTCTGATGCACTGTAATTCCAGTGTGTTGGAGCAGACTCGATTAATCAAGTCTGCTGGAGTGTTGTAATTACCACACTCCGCCAGACTCCATGTCTTGTGTATCAGCCTCACAGCACTTCAAAATATTGGCGGAGGCACTTTGACAAGCTTTAGATCAAATGCCTCCACCGCCATTTTGAAGTGTGGGGATGCTGATACATGAGACACTCCGGGCACTTTAATTAAAGCCGATCTCAGAGCTGCTCTAATTAAAGCACCCTCCACCTCTCACTCCTAGAGCACATGTAAAAAGTGCCCCAAAGGTTTGCAGGACTAAGTCCTAAGTAAACATATATTTGCCACCAGAGAGAAATGTTGGATGAATTCCACTCCTATTAAAGTTAGTAATAAAAATCCAGTTATGAAGAGGAGTTGAATCAAATCCATTCAATATTAGCTAAATTTACCTTGGATTACCTTAACTTTATTTGCAGTCATAAAAGGACATGGTTTGAGCACATCCATATCTACTAAGATAGTTGAACAGCCATTGTACAGGAGATAAGAGGAAGGAGGTTCTATTTTCTATATAGTTTATCATCTAGTTATTTTTAATATATTTTGCAACAAGTCTGTTTTGTAGTGAAAATTTATTCCCTTGAAGTCTGTACTCTGCTGTGGAGGGAGCAGCATTAAGGAAAGGATGGGGCTATGGATGAAAAAGAAGTGGGCAGTGACATCCTGATTGTTTGATAAAGATGCTAATGCTGCTTCTGCTGTTTCCCCATCAAGTAATTATATAATTTAATGGACGTTAGTTTGGCCAGAGGATCTAGCTAAGAGTTTTCTTTGTGACTGTACGGGACCTAACTAGGAGCAATGGCCTCAAACTGCAGCAGAGGAAATTTAGGGTCGACATTAGGAAGGAATTTTTCATGGTGGGGTGGTTACGCATTGGAACAAGCTACCTAGAGAAGCTCTGAAACATCCATCCCTTGAAATTTTTGAGATCAGGTTAGACAGACCCTTAGCTGGGATGGTTTAGTCTGGGATGATCCTGTCTTGAGAAGGGCGCTGGACTAAATGACTTCATGTGGTCCCTTCCAGCCCTATTTTCCTATGCTACTATGATTTATTGACTCAGATCTGAAATGTTTATTTCATGAATACCCACCCATGTGAACAGCATATCAAAACAGGTGCAAAAGTAAAAAAAAATCAAAGTATATTTTCTAGGTCAACACAATTCACACTATTTATGTGTTCCCATTTCCAGTATATTCTCCCAGCTCTACTTCCTACAACCATAAAACAACTCAAGCTTGTTGTGTATGCTAGGAGTCAAACCCTGCCTTTACTGAAGCCATTGACAAAGTTCCCATTGACTTCAGTGGGGCTGGGATGCTCCCAGAAATGTATATTAATGTGGACAGAATGTGATTAGTCCATAATCATGATGGGCTAATTTACCGTGGTAAATTAGCCCATCATGTTAATCAAGTTAGCCTTGATGACCGTGTCATCAAGGCTAACATACAACCAGTTTTTTCCAAGGTGATTGCTTGTACACATTATTTAGTGCCTGGTCATTAGGTGGGAGGGAAGCCAACACACATTGAACAAAAAGCTACCTGAGGGTTCACTAGAGGTCCATAGATGTAACTCACACCAGTGTATAATTATTCATCACTCACTGGGTGCATCTACACGAGATGCTAACTGCGCATTATCCTAATAACACTGTGCAGTAGTGTGCTGGGCAAACAACGTGCTAATATTGTATTGTGCAGTAGTATTAGGCTACTGCTTAGTAAGCATCACTAAAAAACCCATGTGCCAGCATTACTTTTACAGTAGCACAAGTTACTACACATTGATTTAGTATAATGGTCCTTCCCATGTCATTTTGCATAGTACAATATAATCAATGCACGGTGAGGTTGGCACCATATTGTTACTATTTTCTATAAACTTTATCTAGGTGTATAAGCTTGATTTTTAATCAATCTTTCCAGAATACATTGTCACAGAATGAATACATTTAATACATTATTTAATGCTACAACAGGTCAATTTTACTAGGTACAGCAGAACATCAAGTGCTCATAAGAGAACTGCACTCAAATTCAATTCTAAATTGACATTCTAGAATTTTGTATTGCAGGTATCAGACACCTTCGACATCATTGTGATACAGCAACATTTTATAGGTTTTCTAGCTAAGAAATACTTATGTACAAATGTTTGTTTATGCATAACAGCAATATCTTCAAATACAGAAGTAGCCTGGAGGCTGGTATAGTAAATAAAGACAAACCTTTAAATATATGCTTTGCCCATTATTCTTTTTGGTACTGCTAGATTGATACTGTAGCCATGATAGTCCAGGAATTATGCAAGAGGCAAAGATTTTTGGGGGTGATATCTTTTATTGGACCAACTGCATGGTTGGAAAAAGTTAGACAAGCTTTTGCATTCAAGAACTGATGAAAAATGTCTTGAATGCAAAAGCTTACCTAACTTTATTCCAGCCATCCAGGTGGTCTAGTAAAAATCATTGCCTCTCACTTTATTCTTTTTGTCACTGATACTGTAATTTTACCACTTAGTTGCAAGTAGTAATATCATATACTTATAGATATGGTGGATCTGGAGTGTATTACAGCATGGCAAGATCTTTTTTCACAATTACTTACTATTGCAACTTTGTAACTCTAGATGGTGAGTGGAAGCAGACAAGGCAAGTTTGCTTTTAATGACAGAAGAAATAAAAGCAGGACCATTAATCAGGAATTTGCTTACTTTATCTGAATTCTAAAACAATCTGGGAGAATGTTCTGCAGACTGCTAGGAGTTTGCTGCAAAAATAAAGTATGCCTAATGGGAACTATGTTTTCTCAAACTGAATTATGATGTAAATAACTTATTAATGGAAAGTTGATTATTTTAGTTAGATAAATGGACTGTGAGGAGACAGGTATATTTCTCTGTTACTGCAGTAATAAATATTTTGAATTACTGTATCAATTGGGTTGTGTGGAATGAGTTCTTGGCACTTGGCAAAAAATAGCTATGTATATTTAAGGGAAAAATTATATAAAGGGAGATAAAACAAATGCAAACTATGGTCTGAGATGGTAACACACTGTTCCTGTGTGTAATGGAGTTTCAGAACATAAGAACATAAGGCCAACTTTTCCACATATACAGTGAGGAGTTGTAATGAACAGTAAATTGGTAAATCAAAAAATGTAAATACATTGGTATTGAAATTAACTTTTCCAAAGGCCTGATGGGGAACAATAGATTTGTGAATAGTGTGAACATTACATGACTTTTACAACCATGTCTGGCATTTTGTTCTTGAGAGGAATTTCAGTTTAAAAAAATTAATTTAGCATTTTGAGTGCAGCTGTAACTTATCAAAAAAGCAAGAAATATCAAAGTTGAAGAGCATACTGCATTTATTTTTTTCAGTTTCTCTCAGATTATACAGAACTGATTAATTGTAAAATGCACACTACTGCCATCTCCTGCACCTAAGGAGAAAAAACAGATCTATTTCTTAGTTTTAAATGTGTACTGAATGTAATTTGAAATGTAATTTGAAATGTAATTCGCTAATGAAAGATAGACGACAATGTCCATTAATCAAATATGTGTCAAAAAGGTTCGGTTTATGGCAATCATGTGGTTATTTGCATACCCTCATTGCAATTTAAAAGCTTTTGGAGAAACTAATAGTGAATAGCATAGTCAAATAGCTTGATGCCATAAAACCTAGCTCTGGGTGTCTCACTGCTAACATTTACAGAAAGTATTTTTATACAGTTTACTAGCTCTGGGATTATTAAGACCAAGCAGCTACATGATGATTTATCACAGTAACTTATATCTGAATTTTAATTCACAATGCACTCCATTAATGGCCATGTAAAATGTTCATAAATCAAACTGAAACATTTATTATGCCAGAAGGGGATTTTATTCCACCCTTCCCCCAGCCAGAGCAACTGATCTCCATGTTTTGGTTTCTGTATAACTCTGATGAAGTCTAAGTAGTGTCTCTGACCTCCTACCACCAAGTACACTTGTTATCACAACAGGTGGGAATGCTGCAGGTGATACGCAGGAAAATGCAAAAGTAACACTCATTTGCTAGACTTGGCAATGATCCTTGACAATGTGCTTTGCCCCGCAGTGAAACTGTTCCCTTGCTTTACTGGGCTGTCTGGGTGTCTGCTTCCCAAGTAGCCAGATGTGTATTATTATTATGGCACTACCTAGAGGCACTATTTTATGTAACAGCTACTAATGGACCTGTCCTCCAGGAATTGGTCCATCCCTTTTTGAATCTGGCTGCACTAATCTGTGTTGCAACCTCCTCGGCAATGAGCTCAACAAGTTAACATGATGCTTCATAAAATAAGTACATCCTCTGGCTGGTTTTGAACCTGCCCCCAATCATTTAGTTTGGGCGCCCTCTCATTTTCTTATCCTGGGCCTTGGTGGATAGGCTTTTCCCCACCAGCCAGTCACTCTTGTCTATGAAAGCCTTTAGTATTTGCATCAAATAGGAGCTTGAAGGGTTATTACTATACCCCTAGGGCTAGAAGGCCCTTGTGATCCAACAGGGGTGATACTGAGGCAGAACAGTGGTGGCGGAGGAAGGAGAAGGAGACCAACCCAGGGATGGGAATCTCATTCCCCCACGCAACAACATACCCACATTGCCGAAGAACGTGTGCATCCAGAATCAAGCTCCTCAGTCACTTGAAGACCCATCAAGCCTGATGGATGTCATCCTCGACTTTGAGGGACCACTGCCAACGAGGGCTAGGAGGCCCTTGTGATCCAACAGGGGTGAGGAGATGGGCTGTCTGTCCTTCCAGGGTTGGACTGGCATCAGCGACAAGCGGGTAGCATGTAGACAGCTGGCTTGTCTATTTGAAGTTGAGCTGCGAGGGGTTATTTTGAAGGGATCTTAGGGCTGAGGTGCCATGTGCTTCCACCTGAGGTGGCACAGTCACATGGGGCATTGAAACAGGCACTGTATCTGCAGGTCCTTACAAACTCCTACAACCCAACCATCCTCCCCGCCTGGCTCCTGCCCTTCCCCTATACCTGCTCATGAGTCTCAGCTCTGAGGCACTCTTGCATTTTCCCCCTCGGCTACCTGCCCTGGCACCCCTCCTGACCCCACAACCTTCCTGAGGGTCTACACTTAGGACCTATTAACTGCACTTAAAACAGGAATATTGCCCATTCAAGCAGTAAAACACATGCAAAGTACACTTGTACTTAAAAGCTTAGGACTTTTCGCAGGTGGCTTATCTCCAGCTCCTATTAAGTAGCACATGTCCTGCTATTGCCAGACTACTCCAGGAAGGTAATACCAGGAATTCATAGCCTTGGGGTTGGCATCCAAAATCCACTGGCTGCAGGTCCCAGGGCCTTGATGCACGCTCAAATGAAAGCTGGATAGAAATCAGCTATAGAGTTGTTACACATTTTCAAGCACTAACTTTATAGCTGATTGGCTTTAATAGCTGGATAGTCATTTCTATCATGTGATAATTACTTTGCATGTGTGGCTGATTTCACTTTATTGCATGATGCAGGGATCCTGGTTTTCTCCGATTTAAAAAAATCCCCAATTTTCGGTAAAAAAAGGTAACCCCAAATCCACATTTTCCCGTGATTTACATGAAACACACTGGGGATTTTTTAAAATCAGAGAAAATCAGGCTTTCTGGTGATTAGCCAGTTATTTGTGTGATGATTACTTGGCGCGTGTGGCTAGTCTTACTTTGCACATGTGGCCGGTCTAAATTCATTGCACGTGTAACCAGTTAATTGTGTAATATATGCTGTGCGTAGGAGGGGCTTCAGCTCCAAGACCACACCAGAGCATCAAACTGACTCTGACCCCAGGGCACCAGTAAGACCCAACACTCCCAGGGTTGGCTCCCCTGGCTCCCTCCGAGCAGAAGAGACCTGGCTTGCTGCAGCTGGGAGAGGGTGATGCAGCGCGGCGATGCTGACCGCAAGCTGAGTGCAACACAGTGCTGAAGCACCGTGCCTGGCAGTCTACCTCCGGGGCGCTCAGCCTTCCTGTACCATGCCAGCTCTGGGCTTGCACTCCTGTGCTGCCTACAGAAAAACGAGAGAAGCCATTTTGCTATTGCCAGGCCCCAAGCAGGGCAGGACTCGTCTTTGGGCCCCGCTACACGTTCAAATGAAACCATCTCGAGTTGTCACACCTTTTCAAGCATCAGCTTTAGAGCAGGGTGGCTCTTTTTGTGGCTGGAAAGATATTTTTATGGCGTGATCGTTAACTCTACAGGCAGGGCTGGTTTACATTTATTGCACGCTCCACCAGTGCGATAATGCACGATGGGTGAGCTGGGCGATGCATGTAACATGTAGCCACTGCGAGACCACTAGCAGGGATGACACTATGCAGTGCCCAAGGCACCCTTGGCAAGACCGACTGGCACTTGGGGATCCCTTCCTGAGCTTGGTATCTCCCCTGCCAGGTAAATTCCCCCCCACCCCCGACCAGAGTGGAACGGTCCACCCCCGACCCTGCAACCATCCTCCTACTGGCCCCGCCCCACACGCAGACATCACGGGCAGACATACGTCAAATAACTCCCTCCATTTTAGCCCTCAACTGCGCATGCGTACTCTTCCTTTGCTGTTCGCAGCTTTGTCGAGCGACTCATGCCACCCCCTCGGCCTTTTCCGGAACCGGAAGGCATCGGCTCCCCTGGAGGCGTTTCCGTGTCGCGCTTCCGCTGACGCCGCCACCACTGCCTTCCCCACACACAAC